CATGTCTATTATAAACGGTTCATTTTCTTTTCAATATGGGATCCTTAACATGCCCTCATTTTTGTACCGGTTACTCGTTTGAACGTTTTGGGCTCTGATACCATATTAATATTGATGGGGTTCCATCTCAAAACCAATTGGAAATGAGAGAAGTAGTCCATGTCTATTAATAATCAATGTAAGGACCCCTTCTTTTCAATGTGGGATTCAATTCCCGTTCTCAACCCATGACCAATATGAGCTGGAGGTTTCCTTCGTAACTCTTGGAACTTCTTCGTAGTGGCTCCGTTCCATGCCTCATTTCATAGAGAACCTCAAAGTGGCTCTATTTCATTATATTCCATCCATATCCCAATTCCATTCATTTAATATCCCTGTGGTATCATTGAGATAAGAGATGTCGTTTCTAGTCTATCTGTTTCTATTTCTATATATATGGAAAGTTTAAAAATCATCACATAATAATCCAGAAATTGCAATAGAAAAGAAAAAGGGAGGTTTGTGATGATTTTTAAATCTTTATACTAGGTAATCTAGTTTCCTTATTCACCAGAGTGATTTTAACAATAACAAAAATGATTTTTGCCCACGAATAAACTTGTAATCGTAAACCTTCTCTATAAATAAATGTCAGAGCTTATATGCTCTGCAAAATATCATCTTTCTTTGCTAAAACTACAACTTACATTATAAACCAACAACATAATGTCTCTCTTTGGAGTGCTCAAGGCTGAGGTAGAAATTAAGGCTGCAGCTTCAGCATTTTATGCTATTTGTTACTCGAAAATGGACCAACTTCCCGAAATTTCTCCTGATAAAGTAAAAATAGCTGGGTTACTCGATGGCAAGTTGGGCAAAGTTGGTGCTGTAACCTAAGTAAAGTTTGTTCTTGGTATGCTTTTCATGAATTTTTCTTTTATTTTAAGCCGTACTATGAATATTTAGAACTAGTCCGTATTTGAAAAATTAAATAAATTCTAATTCAGAATTATTCTAGAATAAAAGTTAGAAGAATCATGTGGTCTTCCTCCACATACAACCTGAATCGAATAAGTTAAGTTCTATAATTCCCTAAGATTAATGAGCTGGTTTCTACAAAGAAATCGTCTAGGTATATTATAAAGCTTTGTTAGGTCCCCTAGTCTCCTCAAAATTGTGATTCTTTTAGGCTAATCAATCTTGGTCAGGTTCTTGGTCAGGTCCTATTTTTTTAGACCAGATGCTTGTTTGAGCTTGTTAGACTCTAATACCATATCAATATTTATGGAGTTCCATCTTAAAATCAATTGCAATGAGAGGAGTAGCTCATGTATATTATAAATCTTGTTAGGTCCCCTTATCTTTTGGATGTGGGATCCTTAACATCATGCATACTAATTTATGTAGTTTTGGTCTACTATGGTATAAGGGAAGACTGAAGCGGCAAAGTTCGAGGTTGAAGCTGTAGATGAAGCGACGTATTCGATCACATACCGAATGGTAGAAGGAAATCATTTGTCGTATTATAAGACCTTCAAGATTTTAATCCATGCTATTCCAAAGGGTGAGGGAAGTGTGGTTCACTGGGGTTTGGAATATGAGAAATTTGATGAAAATATTGCAGAGCCATACACCTTCCTTGAGTATTTTGTCAATCTGACCAAAGATGTTGATGCTTCCCTTGGGAAATGAAGGAAGAAGGCATGAGCATGAGATTCCTTTTGACTCACTGTCGGGGGATCTTATGGAGTACTGATATTTGCTATATGTTATATAAGCGTAACAAACTCTATGTTTAAATAAATGCTTGTATCAATGCATGTGTTCTCTCTTTGTGCATGGTCTATGTAATCATGCCTTGAGAATAGAATGTAAATCTACTTTTAAATTATTGGAGGAGATCCCATTTGGTAATCATTTTGATCCTGTTTGATGACCCTTTTAATTTCATTTGTTATTTTTATGTTTTTAGAATTAAGCTTGTAAATTATCAAAATTCATGATTCCATCTCAAAAGAAATGAACAATTCTGCTATCGAGGTGAATTGATTTAATTTCATGAAGGTTGCAAATCAATCACCATTCTTCAACTTTTGCCTTATCAAACTGAAGCATGTATGCTGAGGATAAGCTTTATATCCTTTATAGAGAGCGACTTTAGTACTCTCACACTCATTATAGGTAAAATCTATCAAGGGTGCTCTTATAACAACGACATCCCATTCATGAGAGCTACATGCTTTATTAAGAGTTTATAGAAAAACACAATAAGCCACAACGCTATAAGATAATTCGTTTGGTTTATAACCATTGTTTATCATACATGAATCTGTTGGGATTGGTGGAGTCAAATCGACGTGGGAACGAGTTAGAGACAAGTCGGGATCGATCTGGGACGCGTCTGGGCGAAGCGACGAATGCAAATAAGTGAAGAGCTGCTGTAGAGGCCACTTGGCCATGGGCACGACACCGTAGCGCTACAACAAATTCTAGAAAGAAAAGCCGCATGTTTTGGATCTTGATGTTGTTGGTCGTATCTTTGAGATGCTACGGCTAGCGTCTCAACGCTACGACGTCTTTATAAAGGGGCCGTTTGATTTCGTTTTAGGTCAAGCCGTGGAATCCAATTTTTGGCAATCGATTTTGAGAGAGTATTTATAACATCTTTGTGGGAGCAGCTCGAGTTGGCAGTACACATAAAGGGCAGATCGAGATCGATGTATTTGGGGTAATTGTTCTCGATATTATTGTGAGTTTTTCATTCCTTGTACCTAGGTATATCGGGGTAAAATACTTAGAAGCTAGTAGACTTTTGTTGGGACCTCTAAAGAGCGAATGTTTGTGGGGGAGATATATTTGAGAGTGCTTTGTAATCCAATCTCATATTATAGTGGAACCCGCATCTGAGTGGAAGACTGGACGTAGCCCACAAATCGTTGGGGTGAACCAATATAAATCTATTGTATCGTTTATTACTTTTTGTATACCTCTTTTGTGTTGTGTGATTGGAGCTGTGGCAGGGGAAATTATTAGGAGTGTCTAATTTCCCAATAAGTGGTATCAGAGCGAAGTCTGCAGTATTATGAGATCCAGTCAGAAGTCACATAAATACTTCGAGTGAGTGTTGAGATTTTATAGGGACAACTTCGAGTTTTGGAAGATGCAAATGATGAATCTTCTTACATACAAGAAGATACATAAAACCCTGATCAAGGAACGACAGGCTGTTGAGATGATAGACAAAGAATGGACTGAGATGGATGAGCAAGTGGTAGCAATCATCAGGCTGTGTTTATCAATGAGAGTGGCGAGCCTCGTGGTGTGGCAGAAAACAGCAATGGGGCTGATGAAGGCTTTGATTGACAGATATGAAAAATCTTCTGCCAACAGTAAGATGTGTCTCATCATGAGATACTTCAACATCCAAATGGAGAAGGGGACCTCAATGAACTCGCATATAAATGAAGTTACCGATCTAATGAACAAGTTGGAGCTAGCCTATTGAGATTACTTTTTAAGAAGAGGTGAAGGCCATTAAGTTGCTGTCTACTTTGCCTAACAGTTGGAAGACGATGGAGATGACGGTGTCAAGTTCGTCGGGAGACAAGAGTCTGAAATTTTCAGATATCTGTGACCCTGCAATTACTGAGGGAAGAATTCCAAATTTATTTCCAATGGGTATAACAGTTTAAAATCAGTATTGGTAGCTCAGTGTAAGGACAAAGGGAAAAGACAGTAAAGGCGCAGTCAGAATAGTGGGAGTAGTAGTGAAGATGTGGAGTGCTTTTATTGCCACAATAAAGAACACATCAAGAGATTTGCAGGAAGCTCAAGGAGGATAAAAGAAAGATTCTACAAATTATTTGACAGTTGAGGTGTTGTTAGCCAGCACTGAGATTAACACAATATTTGTAGAGCATGCATCAGAATGGGCAGTGACAGTGTAACCTCAGTATACATCGCTTCAAACAGACGGTTGTTTACATCTTTCATTACAGTGAGCTTTGGCTTGATGAGAATGGGAAACAACAGACTCTCCAAGATCAGGGGCATTGAAGATGTAAATCTGAAGACTGACTGTAGAATTGAGCTATTTTTTAGGAATGTAGCATATGTACCAGGTTTCATGAGGAATTTGATATCTGTTGGGAAGTTGGATGAAGAGGGCTATAGTAGTGAGTTTGCATATGGTAGCTGGAAACTAGTGAGGGGATTCGGGTAGTGGCAGTGTGCCACAAAGAAGCTTTAGTGTATGTGTCTAGATTTGAGGTTACTAGGGTATCACAGAGACAAATGATGCACATGGCTGCAAATGTTGGAGGAATCAACAACATTGACAACCAAGACAAAAGAAGAAATTATGCCATTAGTTCAAGTACAACAGTTGGGAAGTAGCTAGAGAGAGTGGAAATGGGAACAACTTAGGTGATGTGTTCAACAGATTGTCAGACGGTTTGGCGAGCTGATGAAGTTGCATAGGCGAAAGAGTGCATCAAGGGAGAAGACTACAGAAGTCAAGGGCGAAGTCTCTAGGGTGGCAACAGACTTTGGTAGGAATGCCAAGTTATCAGAGGGGAAATCTTTCTTTAGAAATCATTGTCGATCGAGGAAGGAAGCATCAGGGACCACTAAGATCGAGTGGGAGTACGTGACTGTGTCTCTAGCATCTGGGAGTCAAGACCACATAGGATTGCTCAGTCTCGAAGCAATCATAGACAGAGCTTGGGTAGGTCCGAGTAGATGAAAGTCAGTTACTGTTAGTGTAGTCAGAACTGAGCCTTGACGAGATTTCCAAGATGATGGGACACTGTTGGTTTAGTGGAAGGCGAGTTGTCGCTATGTCTCCAAGTGAGAGATTGTTGGGACTGGTTGAGTCAAATCGACGTCGGAATAAGCTAGATACGAGTCGAGATCGAGCCGGGACATGTTGGGACGAAGCGAGGAATGAAAATAAGTGAAAAGCTGCTGTAGAGGCCACTTGCAGCGCCGAGGAGCTACAACAAAATTCAAGAGAAAAAGAAAGCACGCGTTTTGGATCTTGATCCTGTTGGTCGTAGACGTCTCAACGCTACGACGTCTTTATAAAGGGGTTGTTTGATTCGTTTTAGGTCAAGCTGTGGAATTCAATTTTTGGCATTCGATTTTGAGAGGGTATTGGTAGCATATTTATGACAGCGGCTCGGTTTGGCAGTACACAAAAATGGTAGATCAAGATAGATGTATTTTGGGTAATTGTTCTCAATAATACTGTGAGTTTTTCATTCTTTGTACCTAAGTATATCAAATACTCAGAAGCTATGAGACTTTTGTTGGGAACTCTAGAGAGCGAATTCCTATGGGGGGATATATTTGAAAGTGCTTTGTAATTCAATCTCATATTATAATGGAACTCGCATCTGAGCGGAAGACTAGATGTAGCCATAAATCGATGGGGTGAACTAGTATAAATCTGTTGTGTCGTTTATTGCTTTCCATATATTTCTTTTGTATTGTGATTGGCTTAGTTAACTGGATAACTGTGGAAGCGGAAATTGTTAGGAGTGCCTAATTTTCCAACATAATCAAATTTCTCCTACCGCTACTTTAGGGCTTATTTTATGTCATATAGAGACTTAGTAAGCTTATAGACACTATGTTTTCATGCTCAAGCTCTATAAAACCTTTAGGTTGGTCTATATAATTTTCTTCTTCTACATCACCATTTAGAGAAGTTTTCACATCTATTTGATGAATATTCAAATAAAAATTGCAGCAATTACTATTAGCATAAATCTAATAGATGTGATTCTAGTAACTGGGGAAAAGGTTTTTAATAAAAAAATTATATATCTTATTTTTCTTTAAAACCTCTCTGCGTGGTACAAATCTAGTTTTATACTCTATACTACTATCTGGTTTAGCTTTTTTCTCATAACCTATTTACACTCAATAGTTTTACAACCTGGTGGCAAATCAACTAACTTCAAAGTTTTATTAAAAATTAGTGATTCAATTTCATCACTCGCAATCTCTTTCTAGAAAATTGCATCCAGAGATGAATAAAGCTTATTGCAAAGAAACTAGTGTGTTTATTGCACACTATAACTATAAAAATCAGGACAAAAATATTTCACAATTCTAGCCCTTTTACTCATGCTCAATTCAACTAGAGAATTGTTTTCATACTATCACTAGGAGTAGTAGAAGATCCAAACTTAGTTGAAGTTTGTCTGTGATTTTGACCCCGAATTTTCATGACTTGAAGGGGATTTATTCTTCCTAAAAATGTTCATAACTTAGATTCAAAAATTACATTATTTTCAATATCAAGAAATCTATAGGCTTAATTGTATCAATATTTATGGGGTTTGATCTCATAACCAATTAGAATCGGAAGGAGTAACCCAGTTATATTATAAACCCTTGTTAAGTCTCTTATGTTTTCAATGTGAGATCCTTAACATGTCACCTTAAGATGGTGCCTCTTTTGGGTTTACCAGCTTGTCGAGATCTAGGATTCTCGTTTGAACTATATGGGCACGATATGGATTCCTCATTGAAAATATAAGAGACCTAACAAAGCTTTATAATAGACATGTGTTACTCTTATTTTTGTTAATTACTTTGAGATAATACTGTTGGGTTTTGTGCCCTTAACTCATGTGTTTGTAATTAATAAACAATTTATTTCAATAAAGAGTTATTTCTTTACATTACTCGTATTCTAATAAATTATAATTCAAAGTTATTTAATGTAGCCATAACATGTATATATTTAATGTAGTCGGTATATATAAATTATATATTATCAATATACAGGTGTATAATGTTTCAGTAATAACCTAAATAGTCTATAGTACATGGATAAGGTTGAGTTTCTTATCCTGGTAACACTATGGATACGACCCGCTTTGTAATATTTACAAATGACTCTATCCCGGTCGTTCATGTGGAGACACGCGAGTGAGAGTATCCAATATAATGAGTTTGTATAAGATCGGACCGTGAAATAATTAATTATTTGCTCTAACACCGTTTGCCAATAGATTGATATTTCATAGAATGACCAGGTAACTCGATCTTAATCCTGAACGAGTTATGGACTCCTACCTATAAGGGATCGTCATTTGATTTGTATAGGTGAGAGTGGTCCGAGTTGCTAACTCAATAATCCTACCATTTTGGGGACGAGACCAAGTAGGGAGCTGGCAACGTAACTACGCAAAATGGAATTCACTGATTCCGACTTTAGGGTATGTAGATGAGTGTTCCCTTAAATGCTAACTCCAGGACTTGAACAAGAGGTCCTACCCTCTCACTAGTTCGAGAGAGACTTATTTTTAATGGTCGGGCTGTTAACAGAGTGTTCATTAGAGGAGCAGTGATACTTAAGGTGCAAGATGTAACTTATGGTAAGATGCTAATCTAGACCCAAGTGGAATTATGAACACTTGTAGTCAATGGTTAATTTCTGTGGATACAAAATATTATGTAGTGAGCTTTTAGACTAGATGCTCGTTTGAACTTTTGAACTCTGATACCATAGGATCCTTAACAAGCTCTGCAATCAAGAAAGCACCTCTCTTTTACCAATTGCTCTTAAAAGAGAAAAAGAGAGAAAATAGGGTAGATAGAAAATATGTTGCATCTCTATATATGTTGTATTTTGAGAGTACGGTAAGAGTGATATTTTAGGAATTTTTAGATTTAAAAATTTTAATACAAAAATAAGTAATATAAAATAACCTCTCTTTCAAATACGTTTTCTTTTTAAGATGGAAAAAAAAATTCTCAAGTTTACTTTCTTATTACAAATTAAAACTCCTACAATAATAAATAGTAAATATTCAAATGTTAACAACAATTTATTATAGCCGGGATATTAGATTATTCATCAATAAATCACAGGATATAAATTAAATACAAATTAAAATCATTATGAATCATTTATACCTAATCCCCAAGACTTTTCTCAAGATAGAATAACTTGTTTGGACCACATTCAAAATTGAGAAATAAAATAAGTTTATACACTTATTTAACAGCATTTTTCTATGCTAGCTCCCATTATCATAGTAGGAACAAGAAAATTAGTAACCATTTCCATACCTCATACTTAATAAAATTATTATGTTTGACCTAATTAATTTATAGAAAAAAATACACTTTTGGTCTCTGCGTTTGGGATAGGTTCTATTTGGTTATTGAAATTTCAAAATGAACATTTTTTGTCTCTATAATTTGAAAAATTGTCCTAAATGATTCTGGAATGATTTGATCATTAGTCAACTAAGGTTCAAATCAGTTAAAGTGACTGTATTTTGTTCTAATTTAATCTTTTTTTTTATTATTTACTGATGATTGGACTTCTTAGTTTATTATTATTATCTTTCAGATTATCTCTCATTTCACCCTCTTCTTCCCTTCCCCTCTGTTGTTGAGTTTACCACTGGCCGCGGACCTTATCTCCATCTCCTCTCTCGTTAATTCCAAATCAATAGAATACAGTCATAAATTTAACTTCCACGTTATTTTAACATTAGTCAACTAACGGTTAGGAACCATTTAGAACCGCATCTCAAACTTCATAGATAGAATACGTACTTATTCCAAACTTCAATAACCAAATGTGTATTTCGTCTTCATTTATAATTCTAATTGTGGACGCAATATTAGGTCCCACGAGGGATGACTTATGGACTCTCTTTACTATGACATGACATACATTGAATCATGTGAGAGTAAACCTCCTCTATATAAAGAAGTGTCAAAACCTGCATGCTTGGCAAAACATTGTCTGTTTAAACTTCAATTACAGCGACTTACATTCCAACCCAAATACAATGACCCTCTGTGGGAAGTTGGAAGCTGATATAGGAATCAAATCTCCAGCCTCAAAGTTTCATCAACTGATCCACAGGAGACCACACCACATTTCCAATGCTTCTGGGGACAAAGTACAAGGTTGTGAGTTGCACAAGGGTGATTGGGGCGAGTTGGATCTATCGTCTGTTGGAACTTCTTCCATGGTTTGTTTCTATGTTTTTTATTTTTTAGAATCGGGCTGTTTCATAACTGTTTCGTTAAAATTATATTTTATTAGTACAATTTATTCAGTAAATTTTCACCCTTCTTGAAAACACATCTAAACTTTTTAAACAGTTTCAATAACAAAAAAAAGTTTTGGTGAAACTTTTTTTTCTTCAAAATATATCTAATTAGATTTTTAAAACGGTTTATACAAGTAGATGCTAAAAAAAAGGTAAAAGTAGTGTTTATAAGTTCAATTTTAAAAAACAGAAGATAAAAAAAACAATGGGGTTACTCTCGTTTCATAACTACTTTGTTCATTGTTTTTTGTTTTTGAAAATTAAGCTTACACAACTACTACTCGGATGTATGTATTCTTTTGAGTTTCGATTCATTTTGATCCCTTTACTTCCAAAATATTCATTTTTATCTCTATACTTTCAATTTTGGTTCATTTTAGTTTTCGTACTTAAAATAGACCATTTTGATGCGTGATTTGAAAATTTTTAAAACAAATTTTATACGTATTGAAACCCATTTAATATAAAATTATGGTTGCATTTCAATAAATATATATTGAGTGTAGTGTCGTGTTGAAAATTAAGGTAGAAAAAAATGAGATTAAAAATAAAATAAAGGGACAACAGGTTCAATTTTTTAAACTATAGGGACCAAACAAAACAAACATTTTGAAAGTACAGGGACAAAAATGAACAAAAGATCGATATACAGAGGCCAAAATAGTGTTGTAACCTAACATCTAAGTCAAATTAAAAAAAAATTAGATTTACAAAACTTGTTTTTATGGCTAATAATTCAAATTTGTTTTGGATAGAGGTGACAAACTACATACTAAAGAAATGGTACAAACAAACATAATTTTTTAGAACAACCCAAAACAAATTGTTATCAAACGAGCCCTCATTTCTTACTTTAAACCCTAGCTCATGCACATTAATTTTTGTACTATTTTATACTGTAGATGGAAAGGCTAAAGTGGGAAAGGATATGATTGAAGCTGTAGACGAGGAAACGAATTCAATCACTTTTAGAGTGATAGAAGGAGACCTTTTGGAGCATTATAAAAGCTTCAAGTATACGATCCAAGCTATTCCAAAAGCTAAGGGATGTGTGGTTCACTGGACTATGGAATATGAGAAACTTCATGAGGACATTCCAGATTCATGTTCCTTGCTTGAGCTTTGTGTCGGCATATCCAAAGACATTGATGCTCATCTTATGAAAGGGAATTAAGAAGCACACTGTGGAGTATTGGAGTTTACTATGTTATGTACCAAGTTTATTATGTTTAAATAAATGTTTGTGTGATGTGTCCTCTTTGTGCATGTTCTAAGTAATAATCATGCCTTGGAGAATAAAGAAACAGAAAAGTATTTGGGACAATGTAAATCTACACTATAGTGCGGGAATGGAATTACTAAAATTCTAAGTCTCCAAATCTATTTTAGAATTGAAAATGGAAAGATCCCCATCGATCCTATTTATTACTCGGTGTTTGATATGATCATTAAGAAATGAGAATTGGAATGAAGAAAAATTGTTCTTATTTCCTTATTTTCGTTCTTTTAAAGAGAATATGACCTTACAAATTATAGATCGAATGCATTTAAAACTCAAGTTAGGAGCAGATGGATATAAAGCAAATAGAGTAGAAAATCAGTAATCTCTGTTAACTTTTAGGAGGAGAGAAAAGAGAGAATAATAAATAGGGTTTCATTAAATAGAATAAAGAAAAGATACAGACCCAATTACCTATTTATTACTAAAATAATCTGAAATCATAATTATCAAATAGAAAATGTAATTCAAATAATATAATCTAAGCATAATCTAATAATATAATCTCACATTCCCCCTCAAATTCCCGATGCTATAGCTATAAGCATTGAGGGTTTGTCAGATAAAAACTGGAAGCGTGAAGTAGAGTGTGACTTAATAAACGTATCTGCAATCTATACAGAAGAAGGAAAAAAAGGCAAAGTGATGGTGCCATGTTGAAGATGATAACGAGTGACGTGACAATCAATCTCAATATGCTTGGTTCGCTCATGAAAAACTGGATTGTGCGTAATCTGAATGACACTTTGATTATCATAATATAATGGAGTAGGATGATGAAGATAAACGCCCATATCCGCAAGAAGCCAACGTAACCAAACAATTTCGCAAGTAGTCGAGGCCATGGCACGATACTCAGCTTCTGTAGAAGACTGAGAAATAACATCTTGTTTCTTACTCTTCCACGAAATGAGTTAATTGCCAAAGAAAATACAAAATCTAGTGGTTGACTTGCGATCAGTAGGATCACTAGTCCAATCAGAATCTGAGTAAGCACGCAAGTCTAAAGAGGACGTGGAGGAAAACAAGAGACTTTTAAACTGAGTGCCTCGAAGATACTTGAGAATATGAAGAACAACGGCTCAATGAACTGTAGTGGGAGCAGTGACAAACTTACTAACCATATGAACAACGTGAGCAATGTCTGGGCGAGTCACAGTAAGATAGACTAAGCTTCCAACAATAGTACGATATAAACTAGGATAAGGTAAAGGAAGATCGTCCGACAACGAATATCGGACATTTGGCTCAAGTGGAGTATCAACAATCCTATTGTCAGTGAGACGCGCACGATCAAACAGATCGGTTATATACTTTGACTAAGATAAGAGATAAGCTTTTGCAGAATGTGCAAGCTCAATGCCGAGAAAGTATCGCAACATACCCAAGTCTTTCATAGCAAAACAACGAGAGAACTCTAATTTTAAAGATTCTATTCCATCACATCCGTCACCAGTAATGATCATGTCATCAACATACAAAGACAACAAAATACGTCCTGCACCTGTACATTTGACAAACAATTCGGAATCATGATAGCTAGGGATAAAACCAAGCGAAGTGACAGCCGTGGAGAACTTCTCAAACTAAGCACGAGGTGCTTGTTTGAGCCCATAAAGTGCTTTATGAAGCCTACAAACTTCACTGGATTGGTGGGCGATGCCAGGAGGAGGACTCATATAAACTTCTTGATGATGGTCACCGTTCAAAAAGGCATTCTTGACATCCATCTGATATATTTTCCATCGGCGAATAGAAGCCAATGCAATCATAGTACGGACAGTCGTCATTTTTGCAATAGTGGCAAATGTTTCTTCATAATCCATGACATATTCATGGGAGTAACCTTTAGCAAAAAGCCGAGGCTTGTATCGTTCAATAGATCCATCAGATTTCATGTTGATCTTATAGACCCAACGAAAGCCAATTGTACGTTTTCCAAGTAGTGGCATTACCAAATCCCATGTGTGAGTCTGATGTGGAGCAGTAAGTTCCTCAGCCATAGCATTCTGCCAAAATGGATCACAAACAGCCTCTCTAAAGGATGAAGGTTCAGAGAGACAATGAACATAATTAAAAAAGGAAGCAAAAGAACTAGAATAAGACGAATAAGCAAAATCTGGTAGCTTAATGGACTTACGAACACGAGTAGACTGGCGAAGTGGAGGAGCATCCACAACCTCAGAAGATGACTGAGCGATCATAGGAAGTGGAGAATGAGATGTAGATGTCTCAACAACCAAAATATCATATTATGTTGAACTATTAGTAGGAGCAGTTGAAGTAGTGGGAGAAGCTTCTTCAATGTTGGTATTGAAAGGATCAATTTCAATGAGATCTGTTAAATTATAAGAACTAGCGGGAATTGAGAAAAAAAGAATATGCTCTAAAAACAGAACATGACGAGAGATGTACAATTTTTTACTAATTGGATCAAAACAACGATATCCTTTTTTACCAAACACCGTAACCCAAAAAAGACACGTAAGAACTTGCACTGATTTCACCGAAAAACAAAATACAATGCACCAAACGAACTTGCACCGATTGCACTGAAAAACAAAATACCGTGCCGCCAAAATAAATTTTTGTCGAACCTCATGCAACTTATGTAAAAAAAAAAAAAACCAATCTCACCGAATTGTAAATGATATATTTGCATGTTCTAAGTAATCATGGCTGGTAGAACAAATAAACGAAAAGTATTTGGAATAATGTAAATCTATACTATAGTGTGGGAATGAAATTACTAAAATTCTAAGTCTCAAAATCTATTTTAGAATTAAAAATGGAAAGATGCCAGTTGATACTATTTATTATTGTTCTGTGTGTTTGATATAGTAAACAATGAGAATTGGAATGAAGAAAAATGATTCTTAATTCGTTAATTGTTGTTCTTTTAAAGCGAACACAACCTTAGCAATTATTGTATACCAGTGTAGAGCTCTGTCAAATGCATTATGATGCTTGAGTTATAACTCAAATTAAGAACAGATGGGTATGAAACAAATAGAGTAGAAATAATCTCGAGGGTGATATTCTGCTTGAAGGTATGTATCGAATTCTCACAAGGAGTTATGTAAGGGACGAAGACTTACCTTGACTAAAGCTGCTATTCTACTTATATACGCAGAGACAGAAGTTAGGTTTTCTTGTGTAAGGAGTGAGATGGTATGTTGAACCCATGTTGTGCTTGGGATTCGTGGGGACCCCAACATCCCTCTTTTCTCCTCTGTACCGCAAATGGAGGTGTGACGACGCTTTGGGTTATCATAGTTTGAGTATAGAGTGACAGCACCCTACCTGTTGATCGTCCTTCGTACAAGAGGTCCACGTGTGCTCCAAATTGGGTCCGGTTCGTTCGATCTTTAATGGTTATTTTTTGACCCGGCCCACGTGTTTGGATTGGCTTACAACGTGTGGCACCTCAGTTTTACCTAATAATAAATGACATATCAAGTCAAGTATATATAAGGTATATCATTGGTATATGAACATTCATATTAAGGTAGACAATTGGTTCACTCATAATCAAGTATATTAGTGTTATTTATCTTTCTTCACTGATATAACAAATTATTTATATCAATGGTATATCAACACTCATATCAGGTACATAAGATAGGCATGTAGATTATAAAAAACATGCAATTTTATCTAAAATCCATAAATAAAACAACACAATTTAATAAGAGAATTAAACACAACAAAGATAGAAGTTAAGAGAGTAATATATCTGGTATATTATTGGTATATTAGCATTCATATCAGGTTTATTAGGTATATCACTGGCACATCAACACTCACAATCAGGTGTATCAGTTGTCCATCAAATTAAGCATACTAATGGTATATCAAATTAGATATATGATCATTGGTATTTCAAGTCACGTATATCAAATTTGGTATATATGTTTGAGTATATCATTGATATATATCATGTATATATCATTAATGTTTGAGTATATCATTGATATATATCATGTATATATCATTATATGGGCTCCGTATTCATTTTGGACTTTTAAATCATTATGTGTGAGTTGAAGCTCAGATTTTGCTATCTTTGCAAAATTAAAAAGTAGTTGCTACTTTTGCAAATAAATTCCTATTATTTTTTTTTTTACCCCATTTTGCCAAATCTCCAATTATTTCAATAAAAGCACTTGGAACGGTTTAGAAATAAACCTTTTAAAGTTTTCTCAATCAAATAATTGTTGGAATTTTTTGAATAAAATTATTTTTGTTAAAAATGAAGAATCACAACTTTTCATGAACGGGTGCGTCTTTTGTGTAAGTTAAAGGACATAACCTTACATGAAAAGATATGATTATTTGAATGACCACAAATAGTCTATAGATACGTGGTTCTTCTCAGTTTTGATATATAAAAAAATCATCCTTCAAAATTCGCTCTTTTCCTCTGTACGAGTACTTAAATACTGTGACTTCGTTGAGTCTTGTGTGTGAAGTGCTGCATTCACAGGTTGGTATATCCACCATATCCTAGGAGACAATTGTTCATGAAACCTTGAGCATCGTAAAGGAAACAAAATTGTCTTAAGAAAATAACGCTACGTTGGGTTCGAATTTTTAATTTTGTGTTTCCTTAAGTTTTCTATGCATATTTCTCCTACAATCTTAAGACAATTATGCATAAGGTT